AAAGACTCGAAACTCGCCCGGTCGGATATTCTGCGATGATGAGGAAGAAGCGGCGGCTGGGCGTTCGATTTCCTTCGCTTGCCTCATTGTCACTGTCTCGGTGGCCGTAGGCCGAAGCGGTTAGCAGAAAATGACGGCTAAATGCGCGGCACTGACTGATTATAATTCTGACCGCTGCATCGATTCATTTTATTCGTACAACAATAGCCACAGCCATCTGTGCGTACGTTCGTGCATCTACATAGCACGGGCAGGCGCCAGGCGCTATGCCGTAAAATCAATGTGGTGGGAGGCCAAAGATGATTTCGCTTTGGCCGGCCGGCGTCATCCAGGGCACTTGGCGCCACAGTTGCGTGAGTCTCGGTGGGTTCTTCGCTTTCTTCTCTGGCCAGAGGCTCTGGAAACCGAAGAAAGGCTAACACACTGTCGCATCCGACCGACGGCTCACAGAAACGCAGCCCGGAAGAGCGATCCTCAGTCCAGCCAGAGTGAGGGAGAACCCCCGGTAACCATCACCTGAGGAATCGCTATGCTTCGCCATCAAACTAGGCATCACGTCATGGCAGTTTCTGGTAGTTCAGCCTGTTGCATTCGTATTGGTCGTACGTTCCGCTGCTGTCGTCGTTGCCGTTCCTCAAACAGGGCAAATTGCGTCCGAAAAAGTTCTGCGGAGACGGCTCCCCGGACTCGGGATTCTGTAACTCTGGTCTAAGCCGCAACGTGTGGTTCACACCGTTGTAAATCACCACTTTTGGATACGATTCCTGCTGAAAAGAAAGCATTCAAATTGAGATTCACTCTGACAAGTAGCGGTTACTAATGTAATCAACTGTAACAGATGTGAGAGCTTCAAAAATAAGTCAAACCACTCTAAACCATTATAAAGAGGTATGTCAAATAAATAATACAATAAACATAGACTGGCAGTGATACGATTTTGGACTAATGTTGGATTAAAGATATTGCAGACACTTAAGTCACGGCAAAACGCTACTTCTACTCATTCGTCTTCGATCACAATCAAACGGTCCGTAATAATTGTTACTGTATATTCATCTATGCTTTTCTTAAATCTCACTCTATCTGTGCTCACTCTTTGAGGTTGTCTGAAAGGCTTTGGACTTTCACCTTTACTGTGGAAGAAAACGCAACTGAAGGTGACTTATTTGGATCCTGAGGGAAATTCTAGGAAAAACACAAATCTAGCTATGTCGGTGAGGAGCTCTTGTCATCAGTTTAGTCATTTGGCTGTCCATCATATTGCCAACTCATTCCCCGTCTTCCCTAACTGCACAAACAATTAGGGAAATGGGCAATGTTTAAGTAAGCCCTCATATTGCTGCGAAGGATCTTATCAGAAGAGGCCTGGCACCGCCAACAGAACCGCGTATTAGAATAATGTTAGATACAGAGAGAGAAGCACAGAACACTTCCACCTGTGAGGAGGGAATCCATCAAGAATCATCACTGAGTCCATCTATCATCTATAATAATTGCAGCGCTAACCCCATATTTGCGAAAGGCAGCTCGAATGGTGTTCGCCCCGGTAGAAGATATTACGCCATGTAGTGAAACGAGAAACCGAGTCGAAACGAAAACCCTACCATTATCAACAGTATGGTGGATTGTCTCAGCACAGAGAACGGAGGTAATGCGAGCGAGTAGGTGAACGGGGAGGGCCATCTGGTGGATTAATCTAAGCATGCACGTATTTTGGTCATATCTTAGAAGACAACTTTTAAATAAGTAGCAAATTAATAAGTTGATGGAAAAACCGTAACTCAGATGGAGAGAGGGATGGCGAGGTCTGCAATAAGAAATTGTTCATCAAAATGAAAGAAAGCAGTAGTGGAATCTGAAATCATGTCGAAAAGGCATGAGCATCGGCTAAACTCCACAGAAATATTAGTGCAAAAATGGATGTGTCATGTCAATAAGAACGATCAAGACCAGAATATCATTGTTAAGAGACAAGAAAGTTATATTCAATGACAATAAACCTAACATACAGTAAGCTCGTTGGTTCGGCTATGGGAAGAGAAAGCCTGGGAGTTTGTAAACAATATTATCCAAACATTGATGTCTATCTAGAAATTAAAAAAGGAAAGAACAGATTTCGTAATGTTCGAGGTATGACCAAAGAGATCATGAAAAACCAGAGAATTTGAGAGAAATACATTAGTGCCGTTATTGCATCGGTTTTAATTGGGGGAGGGGGGCAGTTGCTCAGTGAATAACAAGTCTGGTTTCAATTTCAAAGATGCCGGATTCAAATGGCGCACAATAACTTATCTTAATAACTGCCGATTCCATTTAGCAAAGAATTCAATCCACTGCCCGTCGGTGCAGCTAGGAAATCGTTGACTTGCGAACAATAGGGAAACATGGAGTTCTCATGGTTCCCGTGGCCATGCGAGAATGCGAAAGCTACAGCGACGGTGTCAAACACGAACGCCTTCAGGCTTCCATTCGTCCTCATTCCCCTGATAGCTGATTATACAGGATGACCTTCAACACAACGAGCAAACACAAGAAAATAATGTTATGAAGTGAAGTATGAATGATTTGATGCAGAAGAAGAAGCAGATGCCGCGGTTCATATTCATCCAAGAAAAAATTTCATAAACATTCTATCATCACAAAAGTTACAAAAGTATACACAAGTTGGTGTTTCAACTGGTCAGTTTCATGTGACATTTCACGCCATGGTTTATGACCATTTCGTTAGCACTTTGTGCAGTATATCATCGGAATGCTTACCAGTCTGGGGGGTAGCGGGTTATTAACGGTTTTTATGGAATAATACACGGGATCTGATTTCATCACCGGCTCGC